TCCCCATGCTCAGACCTAGCACATAGCCTACGCCCATTGTAAGCGCTGTTTTGTACATTTTAGTAGAATGTGAGTCATCCGTAGCCGATGAGCTCTTAACAGGGGACTGCATTTTCACTTTCGGCAGTCAGACTGTTTTTATTGAGAAGTCACTTATATGTGTCTTGCTACAAATCTGCGGGGTTCACGCTACACCCCCGTACTCTCTAGATGTGTGGCACACCAAACGGCTGAGCCAAGTCAGAAGAAAAAGCTGGAGGTAGATCTCTTTCATGACTTTGGCAAGGTAAGAATCTTGCCTGTCCTCATTCCAGCAGCAGTCAATAGTTTTATGGGTCAAACCAATACAGTGGTAGACAACGTGCCTCTGAACGGTTTAAACATTACCTGGCTTTTCCCCAGACTCCTGAAAGGGAAGAAAAAAATCTGGCAGCTCATAAAGTCAAATACAGCCCAGTTGCTAAGGTAACCCAGCTGATAAGAACAGCACAGTAATAGACAACAACAGGCACAAGACTCACCTGCCTTTAGATTTCCCACCCCACCAAAGGCAGAGCAGAATCAAAAGCAATAGGCAGGGTGGGGCTCTGTGGAGAAACAGCAATGCTCATCCTTCAAAGCTGCTGGTACAAATGGGATAGGTCTGCCCCAGACACGCACCGAGTGAACCTGGAGCCTAATGGGTTTTATTGGGTCCCAGCTGCAACACGACTGGGAGCGCGTGCAGGGAGTCCAGCTGCACGTACCACTGCTCTCCGGCACCTTGCCTTTCGCACCCGTGCACTCGTTTTGTTAATACCTGTCCTGGACAGTGCTTGAGTAAAAGGGTAGTTATATCAGTATCCTAAAGTTTCAAGGCCAGTGGTTGCTGGGGGTTAGTGAACAAACCTTTCAGTCGCAGAGAACTAGTATAGAAAAAGACACTGGGAGCTGGAAATCTCAGGAACCTGCTCAGCAGTGTACTTCCCCTCACAAGAAACATCCAGAATTGTATTAGTGAGTTTTAAGTGACTGAATCAAACGTTGAGGTAAATACCAGCATGTCGTTAGATTAAGTTTCTAAGCCAATCTCTATGTGATAAAAGTTAGGAGGAAACCAACCCTGTTGTAGCCGCATAATCCTGTAACTGCCTCTTGCAGGGATTCCTGTGTCTTCCTTTAAGCAACTGACAGGTTTCTGGTGAGATCTAATATGTCAGTTCCCATTTTCCTGCATGCTAACAAGCTGAGGTGGACATGGATATCTGAAAAAAAAGACATTTTCGACACCTAAATAAAGTTTTGCAGTGAAAACCTGCCCTGGTTGAAGTCAATGGCAGAGGTCCCAAGGAAAGCCATGGGGGCAGAACTTCAGGATGGTTTCTGGTGGCTGTGGTTCCTCCAGGGCTGCAGTGCATGCCTCAGCCATAACGTGCTACAAACGCCTGCCAATGCAATAACGAGTGCCTCTCCTTGTACCTTAGGGAAATACCTTTTATGAGATATCAAAGTCCTAAAATGTTTGATGACAAACCCTCCCAGTCAGAGGTGTACGGGGAGTGGAATTTCCATTCTGCAGAAGAGCTAATTTCAGGCGCCTCTCTTGACTGAAACTGCAACTGTGTTAAAAAAAAATATAGAAAAGAAAAAGTGGGGTTTTTTTCCTCGCAGACTTCAATCCTTGGAGACTGTCTGGGGGGAACCAAGAGCTAAAAGTAAGCCAGATAGACTGCTTGCTTGCTAGAGTCCAAGTTAGGAGCTGACTACCAAGAAACACTGTTGCTGCTTTGAATTCATAGTTCCAGTGGGGAAAAATGTCTATTACACTGCTTTGCTAAACTTCCTTTCTGAGGTATTTTTAATATTTTAAGTGCTGTTGTAGCTAGATGACTACTGACGCCTGAGTTAGTTACCTTAACCCTTGCCTGGTGCATTTACAGGGGATGCAAGTCTACCTTTGGATTATCCCAACACAATGACCTCTAGGTCGGACAAAGTCACGGAAAAGACTCATGCACATTGTGTTGAGAAGATGGCTAAACATGACTTTAATCAATTCTAGCCGTTGATGAGTAATATATGGGACCTTTATGCTTCTTGCTATGCTAGAAAAGTGTAGAATGGCCTTAGAGGAAAAGAGAGTAAGACCTTCAACTTGAAATTCTCTGCTGTAAAAGGGAAAGTGCTTTACCAGTGAAATTAATATTTTGAGAAACGATATTACATAAAAAGGTAGGAAAGATTAGTCCACCAGTGCGTAGAGGTTATTATTTTGTCTGACAGGAAGTCCACAGCTCTATTGATCGACCTCCTGAAAACAGAGTATTTGTGGATAGCAGCAAGTGAAAACACTGTTTTCTTTCTCAGCACCAAGTAATTGCATGCTGCATTTAAAAACAGGCTCTATCTACAAGTAAACAGGTTTATGAGGCTGTGAGGTGTCTTAAGTCCAGGAAGAATTCCTTCTACAATCTAAAATATCTGAGCTTGGAATAGAACATGTTTTGGAGCTCAGCCCAATGTTTTAGTCAGCAGCCCACGGGGCTTTCCTGGTAGCTGCTCCTCAACGCTGTCTCACCTGAAAATTCTGTGCATGCAAGGGGTTAAGCCAGAAGAAAGTCAAGGGTCTCTTCTCACCAGTGTAAACAGACAAGTACTTAGCTCTGGCACTGGACTACTGGCAAATCTTTTCACTACCCAACCCATCAGTCTTCCTCATCTATAAAATGGAAATAATGCCAGTGATTTTTAAAAAGCTCTTTTTAACAATACATCTCTATTGATGTATAGTTGCAGTTTAACAGCCAAGCATTATAATTTTCATGGTCTCTCTCAAATCGAAGTGGTGAGCCACGGCTGGTCAAAGGCCTCCGTATTAACTATTCCAGCGTTAGTGAAGATAAGGACACTCAGGTGGAAAACAGATTTATGCTGACATAAAAAAGAAATGCTCTTAAAATGAAATCAGCTAATGGCAAGAGCTCTAAATTGAAGGCTGTGAGATGGGGGGAAACAGGTAGAAAGGTGTGTACTTTATTTCTGGGGCCTAAGTATGCTGCCATTGAATTCAGTAGCACGATGAAGTTAACATTAGGTATGAAACATGGGCTGTCTACATTTTTGGTAGTAATCTGGGTTTTGTCACCTTTAAATTGGCTGTGAGCCCTTTACAGGGTCTAGCTGCATTTCAGGAGCCATTACAACGCAACCAGAATAGCACTAGCTTGTGCCTGTAGAGCCAGTGAGGTTTGCTGGTGTTCACAAAAGGATGTGGAGTACTGACAGAAGAAGCAGAATAGCACTAGCTTGTGCCTGTAGAGCAAGTGAGGTTTGCTGGTGTTCACAAAGGACGTGGAGTACTGACAGAAGAACACTGGCAAATTTATCAGTAGAAATCTAAGGTGCTAGCAACTGCCCCAACCCTTGGCCATAAAGCACTGCCCTCATCTGAACTGAATGCCTGAGTACACCTCAGGTCTTTTTGGCACAAAATACTTTACCAGCTTTTTAAGACGTGCCACCCATGCTGGTGGGTCTAAGCAAAGCCATGAGACTGCAAGTGACAGGAGCTAAGCGTGCAAATTTGGGCTCTGTTGCCCTGCTAAGAACACAGGGATGGAAAGGACGTGGAAGTACTAGTTACGGGGCTGGTGTCATGGAACCCAGAAACAAAGATTCCCAATTATTTGAGAAAACTCCTGGGTTTAAATTAAAAAATTACACTACCACCCATTCCCCATATTTTTTCTTACATCCTTTTCAGTCTAGGTTTCATTCTTAGAGAACGTTTCCTTCTTAAAAAATAACAATCCCCCTAATCTTCCAATAGTACTTTATGGAAAGGAAATCTCCAGTGATACAACCAGTAGGGTATCTTCTCCGCCATAACATTTCTTAACTTGGTGAGAATACCGTGGGTAATAAAAATCAAAAGGAGAGAGACAAATGTCAGCCAGGCAAAAATGCCACAAGATTAATTTCTGTAATCCATCTCTCTATTATGTGAAAGAAACATGGCCCTTGGTGTGATGTTTGACTAGATGGTGAGAATTTTTGAATTTACAGTGATAAGTCTTGAGAAAACAGAAAATCTTCCTCGTTAAAGCTGAGGTAGCACCACATCTGTAACAAATTTAAGGCATGCAAGGACAAAAAAGAACAAGGCGTTTTACAATGTACCTCTGTAGACCTGTGCAATACCCCACAGGAGCTGGGTATCTCATTAGCGCGCTGCTGACATACATGTATGGAATCTTTCTGGGTGTGGTGTGTATCTACATCTCTCAGAAGAAAATCGGTTACTGGGGCATTCAGCATATTTCTGAAGTGGTTGGATTCTCCTTCCCCCTCTCCCTATCTATTTACAGTTCCCTTTCAAGTACAAAAAACATTTTCTGTAACCTCAGCTTCCTGATTCAGCTGTTGTGATGTCAGTTATTTACGACAACAAAAGTGAGACAATGCCTGTGGTTTGCGTGGGACAAAGGCAACCTTGTTTCTGTAAAAAGGGACAATCCTAGTGCGAGAAGCACAGGAAAGCCTGCCAAGTAGGACTCTGAGGGGATATTTCACTAGTCCCACCGTCTCCATAATAGCGGGCTTGACACTGCGTTATCTCAAAGGCCACTGACAGAGGGTTTTTCCTTTCCATAGGACTAGACACTAATGTGAATGCAACTCTTGGAAAATTACCTCTTTGCAGGACAAGGCTTTGGAGATAGGTATCTTGGGAAATAAATGGATTGCCAGTGGGTAGAGAGACAGTGAGTGTCAGGACACAAATGTTTCAATACCAGTTACGCATTCTGTGGTCACAAGCAAGTCACTCTGCACCTTTGCTTACCCACCATGAAACTGGTTTAATCGTATTTAACTCTGTAAACCACAGACGTGGTGAAACCCGAAGAATGCCAGTAAACTCTTGAGGTCACAGAGCAGCAAAAGGAAACTCTTAATACACAGCATGGTTAGTTATGAATGAAGAGTGTCAATTTGGGTGCAGCCTAGAGAATGTCACGTACCTGCTATTCTTCCAATTGGCATTGCGTGGTCCTCAGGAGGGGATACAGACACCATGATGTGGTTCATATAAGCTAACTCTTCTCGGTGGGACAGGTTGATTGGCTTTACCTCCCTGTGCAGCCCATCCTCAGACAACCTCGGTGGTTTGAAATCGGAGTGCCTGGGGTTCAGTATCAAAGGATGCATGATAGGGCTGGGCATCAGCTGGATAACCCTGGTGTTCTCCTGGCGAGGGCTGGAGGGCTTCTGGAGAACCTCAGAAGGAGGCGGGCAGTGGTTGTTTTCTATCGGGGACACTGAGAGAGGATAGGGCTCCTGGTGGTTGTTCTCTTGCTGATGCCTTGTCCCCGACACCCTGTCGGCTGGGGAGAGGCGACGGATAGTGTTGTCCATAGGGGACTTCAGTGGCCGCTGATAGGGTTCTGGTGATGGACGGTGGTTGTTGGTGATGGGCGATCTAGAACGATGCAACAGTTCAATGGTTGGGGGGTTGTGGTGGACTGTTTCTGTGGATGGTCTTGAAGGTCTCTGGACAAAGCTATCTGTGGAGAAAAAAAAAAACAACAAAAAATATAGATCGTCTATATTATGATCAAGGTGTAGGACCTAACTGTCAAACTGCTAGCTCGGCTTACTGGGTACTGCTGTCAGCTTGGAAACATTTTTATCTGTGTGACCTACAGATGCCCAGAAAAACGCATTATAAATGCAGATAGTTATTACTACACAGAATGAAATCAGTACTGTGAAAACAATCTCCCTCCACCACCATGTGACAGTAGTTCCTGAGGAAATGTGTTAAGAGAAATCCCATTTTGAGAAGCTGACTGGAACACATGTGAAGAAAGTAAGATCTGATTCAGCTGTACTAACTGTATTTCTGTGCAAATGCTTTGAAACTTATCTCCTGCCATTCATGTCTCTACATGTGGTTCCTGTTATTGTACCATGATGAGCACTGTAAAGCAGACGGCAGAGATGAAATGGGAAAACGTCTCCAGGAAAATATTGGGTAGTAAGTTTGAGACAGTAGACGCTTGGGTCAAGGTAGAGAATACTTTAGTCTGAAATACGGACTGTGTTATCTAAAAAAAACCACTGGTAGGAAGCTCTTTGTGAAACGCTAGCTAAATTTTATCTCTGCCTTGTTTTTAAGAGCATGTAACATCTTCAGAAGGATATTTTCATCGTGTTTTATTTCGTCTGTGCTGTCTACTGATGGGTTGTCCCCTATAAGCACTTACATTTCTTCCCCAGCCGTGATCCTTAACAGTAGGGGAGAGATCAATCACGGCTCTAGGTCAACGTCTTTACATACTAACGATGCTCTCACAAAATGAAATGCTTGACATAAACAGTGCAAACTTTCAGTGTAGCTAAGGCCATCAATTTTGACTTGGGAAACAACTGACAAAGAGGAAAATACCACCAGAGCACAGTGACTAACAGGTTTTTATCTGAAAAACAAAGATCAAATTTCAGTGTTTGATGAAAGCCTTGGCTGATAAGAGAAGGAAACTGCTGGGTACACGTCAACAACTGAAACAAGTAGCTGCCTATTTGTGGCTGCCTGTTCACTCCATTCGCTCTGATCCTCTTTAACAGTTCTCTTGCTCTCTTGTCAAGGCAGTGATATGCTTTGAATACCCTGTCAAGGTGAAGACTCGGGGGCTCCCATTGCCCTGGAACCCAGGCAGGCATCAGGAGCAGGATCAGCACTTACCCAGGGAAAGGCCTGAATAGGAAAAGCTCTGGTCCTGAGAAAACATAGCGCCAGGCAGTGACATAACACCAGCCTTTTTGCCTACTCAATGGGCTGTTCATCCACACAACGATGCTAATGTCTACATGAAAACCTGAAATTTTAAGCAGAAACTACATGGCTCCAGAGCACTTATTTCATGCGCTTGTGGTCCCAGACAAGAAAAATGCATCCGTAGGGCTATTTAAGGTATTCACAATGAAACAGTTAGAGAATATGAAACTGCAGAGCTATATATTGTTCTTCTTTAAACCCAAACAGTTTTAAATAAAATGTGGCCAGCTAATGTGGGTTAGCCCAAATGATGTCAAGATCAAAGAAGAATTAATTTACAACTGTACCTACCTCTGCGGCTGTCTTTTCTGAAAGTCTCATTTCTTTGCCACAACAGAAAGAAAACCAACCCCCCAATTTTACTTAGAGCCCTATCTTCTACAGACCATCCACCCCCATCACTGTACATTCAAATGCACTGTGGTCATCTTGGCCTGTAAATACAGACCAGAATATTGTATCTTTTGTCCTACTTATTTAAAGTGCCCTGGCTGTGGGGAGCAGCTATCTTGAAAGCAGAAAGGAATGCCTTGCTGTGCTTTCCACCACGCTCTCTGCAAACATTAGTTGGCTCTGACAAGCTTCAAACAGAAGCAGACCTATCTGTCTGCTCCCAAACCATGGTAATCCTGAAACAGGACGTGGAGGATAGAAGGTAGGGACCAAGGAACGCTTCAAAAAGCAGCAAGAGGCAAAACCACAAATGGATACACACTAGTGTTCACTTTCCCGTAAGATCTTTCTCTTTAAATACTTAACTAAAGAACCCCCTCACAGCCAAAGTTGCTGTTTACCATAAAACAATTCAAACTCAGGTCCAAGCAGTTCCACTGCCACAGATGATCTCGAACAGAATAAAAACCTCATCACATTCGTTTCTTGGCACATCTGATGACTGTAAGTTGAGCACATATGGTATATCATTTCCTGCAGGAATAGATTCACTCCTCAGTCTGGCTCTTCATTCTGCGTGACCAACGCTCTTCTCTTGAAGGGCAAGCTGTGAAAGGGAATTCAGCTCCCAGCAAAACTGCTGACCTATCTGATCCATACAGGGATGGGTGGGGCTGCACTCACTCTGGGAGTGAGCAGTTGCTGGCAAGACAATCCCAAAGATTGGCACTCTGCTTATCCATAAAAGAAGCGCAGGGAATGACAGTGTAAGCTTCCTGTACGGCATCCCACGAAATGACTCAGTGCTGAGTCAGAAGGACCACTAGAGATGTAGGTAATTCATGCTCCATTGCTCATCCCTCTACAGGGACAGAGACTGATGCCCACAGGGCAGATTCCAAGCCAGTGTCAATGCATCCTGGAGATATTCTGAAACACTGCGAACTGATTTCAAACAGTCAAACCTACTTTGCTTAAGCTAGTAAAAAGTCACTAGATGTAAATGTTGGTCTCAACTGATCCTGGATTAACTAACTTAAAATGAAAGCATTTACAAGTAGGACTAGAAGTATATAATCTATGAGGAAATGGGCAAGAGAGCCCGCAGAAGAACATGGAAAAAGATCACTGGTGTAAGAAGGGATTCTAAAAAAGATCCATCCCCCGTGAAATTTAACCACTCGAAATGGTGCCAAAGCAACACTTCACCCCTCTGTTCCAGTTTGTGAGTTAGGCAGGGTTAAGTTCTGCTTCTCACATTCATTCTCCTTTCTCACTAAGCTGCATTCTGCTGAGGGAAAACTGTAAACCTAATTGTGCTAGTTTCTCCCAAGTGACTCTGCGAAACAGGAAGAAGAAAGAAGGAATGTCAAAATACATAAATAAATACATTCACCTGCCTATAAATTCTTGGCATAAAGATTTTCTGACTGCTCAGTCTTGTGGCAGGCAAGTTGTAGTTTCTTTTGCTTGTTTTGAAGTCCCTCTCACAGCAAAACAAGAAATAATTTTTGTCATTATAAAGAAAAGTTTTAAGTAATAGCACAGAGTTCTCTAAGCAAACACAGTGGTACTATCAGCAGCCAGAGTACTGTGAGGAAGAAACCAGAACTGTTTCTAAATCATCCTGTTCTCTCACAGAAGTTGGACTAGAGTGAAAGCTGCCGCATAACTTTAAGGTAGGGGTGCCTGACAGGTCAGCTAGTATTTCTGTTTGAAATTTAGAAAGGGAACACTTTTGGGTGAATGCCAAGCTTCAGAAAAAAAACTGGTATCTTTATAATGGTCTCTAGAAACTGTCTATCTTAATACACTAGGTGTTGCCCAGCTCTGCCAATTAAACCTCATCCTGACCTGTAGCACCCCCTTCTAATCTGAAATATTTCCATCGCTGTGCGGAACCACTTTGGAGTGTCCTGATCCGATCTGCTGCTGTCCTGCTCTTGGTTTAGTCTCAGAGTTTTACTGGTGCCATTTGATTCTGGCACGGTCAGGCTGGCTATGGGCAACCTGCACAGGTCTGACAGTACCCCTGAATCTTGTCTTGCAATCCCGCACTGAATCTCAAAATAGTTTGTGCATCTTTTCTCCAGTTAGCAGAGCCTAGGCCGATATCCTAACTCACTTCTGTTTTCTTCTCCAGTTTACTTAAAACAGGAACAACACTACTTTTTCCTAGATTTTTCGTTTTTTAGATTGAAAAAGTGAATTCTGCCTGATGCTTTCACAGAAAGGATCTTCTAAAAGGCTCAGGCTTTATCTTTTTCTGATATTGCAGAAAACCAAGAAGTACTTTAGCGTGTAAATTTTTAAAGAAACCAAAGCCTCAATTTTCCACTGAAGGAAGCACACTTACATTTTGAGCTGTACTAATAATCTGTAGAAGAAGCCCACACCTGCAATTCCACAAACATATCTATTCTTTCTTCACCACCTCTGACAGGCAGGGGAATGTGTGGACACTACTAGATGGCTAACTAATCACCTAAGCAAGTAATTGTGACAGTAAAAATGAGAGAAAACCTGCAGAAAAAACCTCCTCTCAACGTGAATTGCTCAATCAGCTCAAAAGCTGAGCAACAAGACGGGCTCAGTGCTAGGAACTCTGGCATGATGCGATGACAGATTGTCAGTTGAAGTGACTTTGAGTTAGATGTTCCTCTCCGAGGCTGACTTCTCCCTTGCTCTGCAAACAATTGCATCTAGTTGCATCTCCAGGATACGAAAAGTCCATGAAGCATCTCTGTCTACCTAATTGGGAGTGAGGAAAAATGCATCAATGGGGTCAATAAAACTTTCCGGTATTTTTTTAATCTTCATCTGGCGTAGTGTTTAAGCAGGGTTTGGAAACAGGACAACATAACAGAAGGTAAATGGAGAATGGACAGTGGACTCCCTAGGCCAGTTGATTGTTCCAAAGCTATGGAGACAAAGGGAGGAGAGTAGCTTTAAAATGACATAATTCCTCACAGCCTTACCCTACTCACCTCTATAATGGCAGCTCCCATAAGAATGAGACAGAGTTACCTTCATCGTGATTCTGGTGTAATATGACCTCTGGCTGAGCATGGATAGAGTTCCCAGGGTGGAAGAAAGGTGTGAAGAGCATACGAGCTTTCCTTTGCTTCAGGATATGCTGAAGGAGTTCATACAAAACATCACCTGAAAGACAAACAGCAGGAAAAAGGAAATGAAAACCTACACACTGCTGAGAAGACTCATTTAGCCATCTGATGCATGAATTCATGGCTCCTGGGTGCCATTTGCAGACCCAAAAATGCCTGCAGTAAAATCCTGCTTTTCACTGTTTTCCAAGGTTCCTCCCTGAAAGGAAAAAAGTCAAAGAAAAGCTGCACATCACACCTCTTTGTGTGACTGTGGAAAAATGGGAGAATGACAAGACATGGGTTTTATTACCCCAGTACAGAATTTTTTTCAGGCTACATAACTGCCCATCCAAGAGCTCCAAACCTTTACAAGCAGGAGTTAGTTCAGTGTCCTGCCTTCTCTCATTACAGTCTCAGTTTTTTAGACAGACACCTTAGGACACAGATAAATGTGGAGTCCATGATTTACGCAGTGAGTTGCTGGGAGCAAAGATGGTGCTCTTCTTACTGAACAATTTCGGCTTTACCAGGGGGAGGAGATAGATGTTGTAAAGCCTTTCCACACAACACCGGTGTTTCAAGGCCAGAGGCTGTGTGCTACTAAGATACTCCATTCTAGGAAATCCACAGGAGGAAGGACTCTCATTTTGAGATGTTACTTTGGGATTGACTCAAAGACTTGAAAAGAATTGAGAGATTTAACTATCCTGAACACGCTTGCTGTGGTGACAACACCTGGAGACACTCAAGTGCTATAGGTGCTTAGGCACTTCTGTACGTCACTCTTGGTGTCATTGGTTGGGCTCCTGAAAAGCCCAGATGGGATCCCAAAGCCAGTTATTTCTGGCTACTAGAATCTGTATGGACTGCAATGCAATAGGCAATATTAGACCATGGATAAGATGCAGACTAAGGAAGAAAACGGTGGACTTTGTGCTCTGTATGGGCAAATATAGTCTGTCAGGGGCTACTCTAGAGCTCTTCCACAGAAATCTCTGCAGTGAATTGCATTGCACCAAGCTGACATGTTCTTGCACAAATTGATCCAGCTACTTGTTTCTTTTCTGGGGTCTAGACAGGCTGTTCCTCGCTTCCCCCCTATTCCCCAGCAGCAGAATTGTTGTATCCTACCTCAGTGGAATGTATCACTGCAATAGCTAGTAGACCAATGGACTAACTGCTTATTTTGTGCCTTTTTATGTATTAAATCCTGTACTGATGCCCTTCCTCCAACAACATCCGCGTGAAACCCCTAGGTACTTCTACATCTTGCCTGATGGAACGGGTTGCACATTTCAAAGTGAAAATGTACAACACAGGGTAGGAAGTCTCTTGACTTTTAATTCTGCTTGCTCGCTAATGTTTGTCACTGCTCATACTACAGAGGAAAAGGCTGCAGGAATAACATATTATCTGAACTTAGTCAAGTTTCACTTAGGAAACCTCGAATTTTCTGGGAGATCTTTCTCAAGTGTGTGGGGTTTTTTTAGTAGCTGTTTCTATGAGATTGTAAGCTGTGCACCATTTGTCCCTTGTCCCTATAAACTGCCAGTGCTCTATTTGTGGGCAAGTTTAGTGTCTTAGCGTGAAACAGTTAAAGCCATCCTGCTTTCCATAGTTCAGCTTCCTTTATTTTTAGCATCTTGGCTGCTTTTACTGTCTCAACAGTGACTTTAGGGCATTTTTAAAAGGTGATTGCAATACCTGAAAATCTAATTAAAAACAAAGCCTCGAGAACCTAGCTACCTTTTCCATGTTTAGTACATGAAAGGCTAACAAGTGATTTTACCACATAATTTGCATCTCTGAATGAAAAAGTGGCATAATCATAACTAGTGCTGTAACACTCCAAGCAATAAGGTAGCAAATTTGTACCTCCTTTGATTTGGCCTGACAGGCTACTAAAAACATCCATAAAGCTGGCTGTCTTTTTTTTAGCTAACAAAACAATTCTGTTTCTGCACCACCCAGATGCAGTAACGCTGGTTGAGAAGGTGAAAAGGGTTTTTTACTCCCTCTCTCCTCTGCTGCCTCCCTTCCCTGGCCAGCCCTGAACAGGAGAATAGCTGTGGGGCTGGGAGCTCACTTTATTGCTAGGACCGCTGGGGGGAGTGGATGTGGTTCTGCTGGTTTAACCGTGAGGGAAAAGGATACAGCTTTTATGTAGCTACACTCCTAAAAAACTTCATGCCTCTACGGCAAACGTTATTTCATAGTTCTTAAATTTCACATACAGTGAAGTTCTGGGAAATGTTGAGGTAATGTCCCTTTACCTACAGTCATCCAAATTTTTAGGTACTGGCTCAGACATTCTCTAAAAGGTTTATTACCAGTGGGAAATACCTGGAGAGGAGGAGGAGAGAAAAAAATTGAGGAAGGAGTCCTTTAGTTTGGCTATTTCATCCCAAATTTAGGTAAATAAGAGCTTAACCTTCTGCATAAAGTGAGAATTTGCAAGCCAGAGGCTCTTCTCTGGGAACACTCTATAGCTAGCCTACAAACATTTTAATGCTACTCATTTCAAGTGTCCTCACAGCACACAAGGGGAAGAGCAGGGGCATAACCTGCAGGCACCAAGGCATCGAGATCATGAGGGGAGTTGCAGACAAGATACAGAAAGGTGTCCCTTGCCCACATCCCCACTTGTCACCTACAGCAGGCTGCACAGGACCTTGTCCAGGCAGGTCTTGAATATCTCCAGAGAAGGAGACTCCACAGCCTTCCTGGGAGGATACAAATACTCCTTTTGCTTTAAGCAGGGCCAATTTATTAATGAAATTATTTGAAGTGGTGTACCAAAATTAAAAAAAAAAAAAGTTTCTAGGCATCGGTTTTCACTACCGTATCACACTGGGATTAGACATTAATGTTTGGTATCTTCTTCCGTGCATAATTAGTCCTGGATTTGAAGCATATGCTTAAAAAACTTCATATCCACTAAACACAAGCCACAGTTTGTGAGGCAGATTCTGAAGGAGGAGGGCTGTAGCGGTGCATTCAAGGGAGTCACCACGCAGCTTGGTGCAGAGTTGGTGCCGCAGCTTGTTTATCAGCCGGATGCAAGCAGCACCAGCTGTACTTCTGCACCCAGCGAGCCTTGCACTGGAAGCCTCCCCACAGCAACTCGGTAACCGCTTGGTCCAAACCCTTTGATCACCGATGGTGACTGAATTGCGAGCCTTTATATTTCACAGGACTACCTTGTATGGTCACAGAAGACAAGCTCAGAACTCTTATTTAGAACCAGTAACTCACGTTTAGCTAAACATCCCTGACAAAGGAGGGCAGAGGCTCACTCTGACTGTAAAACTGGAGCAGACAGACTGCAGGGGATATAAATACAGGCAGGCAACATACACATATCTAAATCTTCTTTGTGAATAAATGAAGACATAATTTGAGCAATAGGCAGACTGATTCACACACCTGTCTGTGCTGTGCCTTGGGCTGGACTCCAGCACGTGAGAGAATATGGTAAAGGAAAGCAAAGCCCACAGGGGCTGTTAAATAGAGGAAAGGTCCCCCAGGGAGGAGTTCTGCAGTCACTTTTAGCGGCACGTCAGCCAAGCCAACTGTGAGGCAGAATACTAATATGAGCTTTTTAAGAGGCTGGAGCACTTGATTAACTTGCTGCTGTGGGTCTGTGAAAAGGTAAGTCTTTACAGGGAAGAGCTGGAAGTCACAAAGTGCTGCCAGAGAAGCTTGCTTTCTGGGAGTTCTGCAGGGACTTTTAACTAGAAACAGGTTGGATATCTGGGTTTGGATTTGCATTCAAATTTGCCTACAACTCAGGTGTATCAGAATCTCATTCCCTCTTTGGCCTTTTTGTCCTTGCCTCACACGAGTGTCTCTGTCCTCCCTCTCCTCCACCCCAGCAAATGTGATTGTTTCCTCCTCTGACATCTCCAGATTTCATTGCAGCTTCCTCTCTCTTTTCAATCACAGCTTCTGTAAGTAATCCTCACCTGAATGAGGAGACCTGTATCGAAAGTCCTCTTTGGTCAGGAGCAGCAGAGCCTTGCCGTTCATCTCAAAAGTGTTGCTCTCAATCGTCCTCAAGGAAAACTCCTTCTCCGCCCACCTGAGCCACTGTGCCACATCGTCCCTGCTCCAGTAAACGGGCTGCAAACCTATGGCAGGAAGAGACCACGACTGTGTTACCAAATTGAGACAAGGCACGGGAATATAGGCAAACATCAGTGAATCCTCCTTTCTCCCCACACCATAACGTGCAAAGTCCCAGGGGAAGGTGTAGCAAAGCAACGTCACGTTGACGCAGAATTATTCTAAGCACTGGACTGTGAGACACTTCATTAGTTTAGGCACTTTGGTTTATCTGTGATGTGCTGAGAAACAAGAACTGTCTCAGCATCCTGAAAAAAGCTTCTAGGACACTATTTCATTCCAGGTTTCCACTGTGAAATTGGATTTTCCTTCAGCTGCTCTTCTGAGGTGCAGAGCAGGCAGGAGGCAAAGTCCTAGGCCCCATCCATCCTTGGTGTGCATCCTTTCATAGAAGACAGGCGGGCTCTCTTCATGCCCCTTCTAAAGTCATTGATCAAGACCAATGAAAGGTAATCAAATGCAAGACAGCTATGGCCATACTTCCCTCTAGGTGGCTGGGGCCTGTAAAGAAGGGCTGCTTCACGCAGTCTCTGCAACAGTGGGTGTGTAAGTGGTTATCAGAGCAGGTATGGTTGAGAAAGGTGCGTTCGGACCGGCCCACCCCTCCTGCAGATGCCATTACACTAGCAGATGTTATTCCCACACTGGAGAGGAAAGTAAGTGCTGACACTGTGGCAGTTTAGCACTGCTTTAGCTTGTGTTTCCTGTATAGGAATAAAATATTACCAATGTAACTCTGTCCATGTAAGGGTGGTATGCCATTTTATAGTAAAACCACAGAATCACAGAATGGTAGGGGTTGGAAGGGACCTCTGTGGGTCATCTAGTATGTTTGGTTTGGGCACGGATTCTCCAGGGCTCCAAGGAGAATCTGGCACTCCCTTTCTCCCAGCCAGCTCGTACACCATATACAGCTTAGATTACTGTGTTTACTCACAGGGGCCCAACCAAGTCACCATGGAAGTTAAAGAACTTTTGCCTGCTACCTGTATTGGGCCCAGGCAGAGAGGCTTGGGAGGAGTGACAATTCAGTGCCTGTTTTACAGACAAATTTAAAATACCTTCCTTCCCCTGGAGAGAAGGCAGCACGGTGAAGAGCTGTTTATACCCAGGTAGAGAGATTATCCCCAATCCACTGGGAGATAAAAGCTTTCTTTCCTTTTCCCCCTTGTGAGATGACTCATTGTTTGACTTGCTACAATGTGCTGTGTAGAACTGAAAGCTTCACACTGCGCACAGGAACATAAAATTTGCCATATCTGATCAGATCTCTGGTACACAGCCTCTGGCAGGAGCTAATACCTTATGCTTCAGAGGAAGACGAACCTCCCTTCCTCATAGTGCACCTGGCTGATTGCATGCTGCACATGGGAAGAAATTTCCTTCCTGGCACACCATTCTCCGAGATCTGATTACCCTCCTCCTACCAAAAAGAAAGAGTTTCTACAAAAAGAAACCTGGGAGAGTTGTACTGCTCTGTTTTGGTTTGGCTTATACTTCTTTCACAGACAGGAAATACTTTTTTCTGTTTCAGCAAGAGGTCACACGCAGCGAATTGCATTCTGCTGCTACGCCAGATTCCCAGACAGCGGCTTTGGAAAGTCCCAGAGCCACAGCTGCATACAGAACTGAATCTCAGTCGGAAAAGGAATTGAGATCAAGCCTGAGAAAGGGTCAGAGCTGACCTAAGGAAGGGACGTCTGCATGGCAGCAGCCAGAATTTCCAGCGGCGTTCATCTGCCCCTGTAGCACTGTATTACGTACCACACAGAAACAAGAAGCAGCATTTATTTATTTACAAAGGACTTCAATTCTCTTCCCCCTATTGAATTAGGGTCTGATTACTGAGGTCAGAGTTTTCTGTAAGACCTTTCTTTTTGAAGAGATTGGGGTGAAGTGTAGGTCTGCTCAGAGATGTGCAAACCATCATCTAAAATGCCAGCGTGAGGTTAGCTTTTGCTGAATATGGGGTTATTCTTGCAGAAAACACGCTCCCGACCTCAGGCTGCCGCTGGGCAGCATGCACGCTGACTGCAGCTAAAGGAGAAAGTAGTCAGATGTGAGGTAGCCAGACCACAACTTACAAAAAGGTTTAAAAGACCGTCTGAGGAGCGCTGGAAATGCTCATGCGTGGCCTCTTTTGCATCCCGCCTTGCCATGCCATGCAAGTAATAAGGAGCACTGCCCTTACTGGGAGGGTGTGCCATGCCCAAAGGGGCACTGTCACGTCTGACTGGACTTCTGATGTGCGCTTCAGAAGATGAGGCACGAAACAAAACAAAACATCACTGGGAAAGTCAGGCTGGCACGGGCAGAGCTATATGATAACATCACATGATGTGCATGCTCCCCTACAGATAACAACACAACAAATAAATCACTCCCTATGAAAGCATAGATAATCATTTCCCGTGTCCTGGTGACAGTGTATTTTTGCATTCCGTTCACTTAATACAAAAGTACCATGTCTAAAGAGGAGTTTAAATTAATTGGTGCTAGACCCCAAGCAGCCACATAAGCTGCACAGACTGGGACAAGCCACACGTGCTGTTCTGGCAGCTCTGACACAGACCCAACACTTCACACTGCAGATCAGGTCTCTGCTGGACTTCAGCAACAGCTCCGAAGAAAAGCCCCAAAGTAGCATGACCTAGGACCACTTGGCTTCTAGTTACTGAAAATCAGCAAGCAGACTTTCTAATTCAGTTTGGCTACCGCTAAAATGAGTGGGTGGACGCACCGCATCTCTGCACCCATGGGGTGATACCGTAATTCAACAATTATTTGTGTTGGGAAGCCATAAAGTGCCATGAAACAAGTTACACGCTTTTCCCCAGACGGACTGCCCCTTCTCTCATTTCCCTCCCTCCCTGCCCTGCCGCTTTCCTTTTTCCTTTCTCTCCAGAAAGCCCCTCTTGGTTGCCTGCCTCCACTGCACGCCCGTTTGCCTTGTGAGGCTGAGCCGGCTCAGCCGCGCGAGGCGTTTCTGGGGGTGCAGACCAGTGTTGCCGAAAGTGCTTCAGAAACTGCCGTTCAGAAAATAATTCTTTCACGTGCAGTACAGCATTTACTAAACTTGTATCCCACCTTCTTTGCCCTTTCTTAAAAAGAAACAGTTGGTTTTGTGAAAACAAGGGCATGAGAGGGTTGGCTTTGCAGCTGAAGAGATTTTACAGCACAGCATACATAGCTATCAGTAGGTCCTGAAAATGCTTTCCTGTACTCTCCATGAAAGAAAAACTAATCCCGCTTATACAATTTTTCTTTTTTGGAAGCTGTTTCTTATTTTCCCCTCTCCATCTTCTCTTTTATTGTCATGCCCACAGTGGAGGAAAATGGGCTCTTTTTATCTCTCCAGTTTTATTCTCTGTGAAAGCTAACAGCATTGTCTTCAACTAACAAAGATATTTACCAAGCAGAATAAAGTGAGCAAAATGAGTGCTGTGTTACAAAACGAGGACGGAGTTTTGCCTGCTGA